ATTGCACTCCAGCCTGGGCAACAAGAGTGAAACTACATCTCAAAAAAGGCAGGCAATATTTTATTTCTTTTATTAAAAGGAAAAAAGGAGGTAAAGCATATGGTCAATACTATAATCTTTTAATACTATCAGGTGGATATATTGGTATCTTTTATATTGTCCTGAGCAGCTTTTTGAATATTAAGTTAACTTTCTAAAAGTTATGTAGCTTTCAATATTTTCTATTTAAAAGTCACACATTTTCTTGAGTTCATTCAATTGCCCATTGACTTATGCATTTGACAAATATTCGTTGTGCATGTCATTAATCCTAGGATGTGAAGACTAAGAAAATCCCCTTGCCCTTGCAAGGCCCACACAAAATGGACTAATTCCTATTTAAGAATCCCGTTATATTCCACAATGTAGGTAGGTTTCTGCACACAGTAAGGAAGGATTTCCACCACCAGGTTTAGTATTTTCCAAGAATAATTGCAATGTGCTTATTTACAGAATAGCATGTTACTTTAGTTCCATAAATAAAATGGTCAATATTTATCTTTGTCTTCTTGTCAAGAGTTTTTATTAAAGGGCATCTAAGCAAAGGAATCTTGAAGATGTTTCAAAGTGAGTTATTATCAAATAATCATAATGACAAAAAGTCAAATAAGCTAATCTTTCTTTGAAGTTTTTCCAAAGAGATTAATTGGCCAACCTGTCACTATTAATGACAAAGGCATGTGATATGGTGTAACTTGTATTTGGCATAGTCATTACGATAGTACTTCCAACATCTTATGGCTTAATTCTTTAGTAATTCTAGAGTAAGTGTTTGGTCCATCCTATCTTTAAGGCAGGCACCAATAGTCTTTACATAACAAATATCAACAACTATACAGAACAACAACAAAAAAATCAAACAGTCCTCGATATTGTTGGCTAACTCTAACACTATTACTCCTGCCCAACTCAATCCTACATTTTTCATTCAAATTTTTTATTTGATAAAAGAAGCACCACTGTTTTGGTCATCACATGTCAGCCCTCAGGCTTGCAGGCTACCCTAAGTATCTCTTACTCTCAGAGAAGTACTCCAGATCTTACTCAAGTAAGAAAAGGTCAGACACTAACCAGACTACAACCAGTCTCAGGAGTCAGGAATCCCAGCATCGAACCATTAAAGCAGGCTTGGCAGAGTAACCAAGCCGGAGGATTGCAGGGCAGAATCCTCTCTTCTCTCTAGTGACTTCTCCTGAGTGTTCTCATCAGTTACCAAAGCTCACAGCGGAGCTCATCAGATTACAAAACTGATTCGGTTCATCTAAGCCTATGCTTGGGTCTGATCACGAGACAGGCAACAAAACTCCAGGTAAACAAGGGGCTTTGGCAGAGCTACACCCTCCCCATACCACATACCACACATACACACACACACACAGACATACACACACACTTACATTTCTAGAATTTCAATCTTAACATAGTAGTTATGAATGTCATCTAACTTCCACAAAGCCTCCCTGTCATGATAATTCTAACACTTATCAGAAAAGTGTTTATTATTTTTAAATGCATTTGTGTATGACTATTATATGGAACATACACACACAAAGTGTTTTATCATACTTTTATTGCAATTTATTACCATCTCAAGTGAGTTACATTGTGTCTGTCAATCATGCCTATAAAAACCAAAGCTCCTAAAATCATTCTTTTATGACATTAAATGTATTCAATAAATTATATGGTACTGATACATCCTAGAGATTCCTCAGAATACAACAAAATATAAATATAAAATATTGTTTGCTTTCAATTGATGCTTTGCCAAACTCTAGTTAAAGAGTAAAAAACCCTCTAAATTAGACATCCATGTGAAAATGAGACACCAAGCAGATGTCAGGCTAATTTTAAGATTTTTAAATTTGAAAATTGGAACAGTGAAGTCCTCAGCTTTTGTTTTTATCTGAAATACTCATTTCTCAAAATGTTAACACAGTAACAGAAAGCCAAGATGTATACAACACACACAAAAACAAAACAAAACAAAATTCCTGTAATCCCAGCACTTAGGGAGGCCAAGGTGGGCAGATCACGAGGTCCAGAGATCGAGACCATCCTGGCCAACACAGTGAAACCCCGTCTCTACTAAAAATACAGAAAAATTAGCCGGGCGTGGTGGCGCGCGCCTGTGGTCCCAGATACTTGCGAGGCTGAGGCAGAAGAATCACTTGAACCCAGGAGGCAGAGGTTGCAGCGAGCCAAGATTGCGCCACTGCACTCCAGCCTGGTGACAGAGCAAGACTCCGTCTCAAAAAAAAAAAAACCAAAAAACAAAAAACAAAATTAAAGCCCAACTCTTAAGTTCCAGAACCCACACTTATGATGCCATCATTTTCAGTATCTGCTTTTAGTTGGCTTCTTTATTGTTTTGATCTCTATTGTGGATAAGTCACTTAAATGAACCTCAAAGGAGATAAAGAAAAACAAAAGCCAAAAGCTAGGTGCAGCACTGTTTCAGCGAAGTAGTGAGGTCAAGTGAAAACAGTTTGAATTGAAAAGTGTGACCGAGGTTTCAAATCCTGGTTCAACTCCTTACCAGCCATATGGCCTTGGGCAGTTGCTTTACCTCCGTGAACCTCAGTCTGCTCTTATGTAAAATGGGATAATAATAATTATTTGCTATAGGTTGCTGATAAAATAATTTCGTAAAGTGCCCTACAATAGTAGGTAATAAATTAAATGTTAATGAATTCTCTTCCTCTTGTCTCTTTTCCCAAAGAAGATGAGAATTACCCAGGGAGAGAACATTAGGAAAGTATGAGCAGCACTATGGAAGGAGAGAAATGCATAGAATGATACCCGGTGAAGACTGTAACTCAGGAGGACATTCTAGTTGGCACATGATAGCAAAAAGATGGGCGTTCCTGCAGATCGTATGGGGGAAAAAAGAAAAAAAAAAAGATGGGCGAGGACCAATTGCTGTGAGGAATGTGAAAGGAATGCAGCTGACCACTAAGTGTACAAAGTGGAAGTCTAGACACAAAGGAGAAGAAAAGTCATTTAGTGACAGCCAAATGAGAAGAACCAGGACTTCTGATTAAACACCACTTGGATTTCTAGTCTTATCACTTGAGTGCCATCTCTAAACCTTACACACAGCAAGGGACAGTGATGCAAGAAGCTGCAGCTGACTTTGTTTCCCAAGCGCCAGAGAGGTTTGGCAGAAATAACACAGTGAAGACCTGGTCATCTAGAGTTACCCATAATTTTGAATGCATGAGAGCACCACAACCATCTACACAAAATAAGTTTTCTGGTCCCACTGGCAGCCAACAAGGCAAAACCTGTCTGGGCTTTCAAATGTCATGGATCAGCTGGATATACAGCAACATAAATAAGTTTTCATCAGCTCTAAAATGCCATCAACTATAGGATACACCATTAGTCTATGTACCATTAATAAACTTTTTAAATACTCCAAAATGAAAAGTCTGATAGAAGATTGCTACAGAAAACTGAGACACCAAAGGGTCACATTTTCTGGGGAAGTACAAACAAGAAATAAACTTTTCACACTGAAAGAAACAGCAAGTAGACATGCATGTCTCAAGCTTAGAATCAGCTGAAGAAAAAACCAAAATCTCCTCTGAGAATGCAAACCACCAACTGGTACTGCATCCACACAACCAGTATGGTACAAGAAAATCTCAAGCAGAGAATTTAATATCAAAAGGTCTCAGATTGATAGTGTCCCTGGATGGCTATTCACAAGCAAACACAAATCTCCTCTGGAAGGACTTGACTCTAATCCAGGCTGATGACCCACTGAAACATGCAATCAAATATAAGATGCACCCCAATTTCAGGGATGTTAAAGAATGGGGAGGAAAGGTATACATTACAATTAAAAATATGTATTAGCCATTTTCTCAAAAGAACAAGGTTATATTACATATGGATCTGAGTCGCTCAACAAATATTTATTAGTGGGTAACCACTACATGAGTAACAAAGGTTTCAAAGCAATTGGAGGCACAACCGCTGCTCACCTGTGGCTCATTAACAATATCTCTGAGAACACAGATTCATGTTTCTATCTGATTTAGTTTTGGACTGTTTTGCCAATGTGTTTATAGCACAGTTACAAAATTGGGACAGGTAAATGCACCCTGCCCCAATCTTGAGTAGGTTTTTTACCACCTAGCATAGAAAGTATGTCTATGAAAAGTCAGCTTTAATGTAAGTAAACTTATTTTCATTCCTTCAATTTCAACAAAAAAACACAAGGTATTTTCTGATTACTTTGATTAGCTTTCACTCAAACTATTAATAGTATTATGTGGAGCAAGTGGGATATGTACATTTGATCATTTGGTTAAAATGTAGAGATTAAGTAGATATGGCTAACTTCTATTTGAGGTAATTTCATGTTTAAGGCTTTAAAAAAAACCTATAATGTAAGACATCATTAAAGTAATTTGTATCCATTAATTCAACGTTGAAAAGTGAACATATATTTTGGTCAAGAGAGATTCAAACTCTTGCATGAAAAGATGTATTGGGGTTAGCTAAATAACAGCTCACAGAAAATATTACTAGTTAGCATTAGTTTTGCCTTTTTACCCATGGATAGAGTTACCTGTGTTACAGTTATTACATATACATAAGCCAAAACCCACCCCCAGAGGACCCTTCAACACAGTCTCTAATGCCATTTCCTGGGAAATGTTCTATTATCAACATCTAAAAGAATACAGTTTCTCCTCCAAAGACAGAGCCACTTGGATTCATGCCTTTCTACTTTCCTTGGAATGCCCTCATCCCTGCCTTGGGTCCTGGTAACTGTTTACAAGAAAACACAAAGAGAATCTTAGTGAATAAACTATATACAAATTAGACATATCATAGGTACCCTCTCAAATTCCACATGGTCTGGCTCATGTTTACACATTAAATCATTCTTTCATGGCATTTGCAATCTCTTTTCTGAGTTGAACCTCATTTTTTTTTTTTTTTGCATTCTGTGCTGCTTTTATTTTATGAAAAAGCTAATTTCAAATCTACATTAAGCTAAGTTGAAGACAAAGTCTTAGTGAAGAAGGCCTGGTGGTCTCGTTTACAAAAGTGGCCAGCGTCATCTTTGGTCTTAAAATTTCAGGAACGGCACTTCAAATGGCTTTGCATTTGCATGTTTCAGCGCTAGAGCGTAGGAATAGCCTCTAGCATCCACTGTAACATGTTCTTCAGCTTCCAGAGCATCAAGTCTCTGCAGTAGATCATTCCTGGGTAAAGAAATGACTTCCACAAATTCTGCATCCCCTGGCTTTGGCTTGGGCCTTAGGTTTTCGGCATCATCTCCGTTAATGGTTACTGTCACAATGTGTGTGGTACACTTCGTCAAGCCTGGGTCCATACAGACAGCTGGAGAACATTCGGCAACATCCCCTTTGTAGCCAGTTTCTTCCTCAAGCTCCCGAAGAGCAGCTGCTTCTGGGGTTTCACCATCATCTATGAGACCTGCAGGGAACTCTATGCAGTAGCCGCCATGGGTGGTCAGAACTGTTTCACCAAAACGATACACTCGTAATGAAGTGTTCTCTGTAGCACCGGGATGACCGCTACACCATCAGCACTCTGTTCTTTCCTGGTCGTACGTTTCACTGATTCCCAAGTTCTAGTTTTACCAGTAGGGTCCATGTATGTTGTTTTTTCAAGCTTGACCCATTCTCCTTCTGAAATTAACTATGGCACTATACTGAACTGAGGGGAAAGCTTCACTGCGTGCGTAAAGCAGTAGCCTCTTTCCTCCTATCCTACCTTTCACTTCTTGCCAGCAGCAAACTAATCATTTTCAGCAGATGTCCTCTGAAATAATATGCTGTCTGCCATTCTGAGAAGGCTCTGCTGGTTCTTGGCTCTCCATTTTCAAACTAGTCTTTACCGCCCTCGGGTGAGAAGTTCACCTCCAAGGTGTAGGGGTGAAGAAGGGAAGAGGACGAAAGAACTTGCTGGAGGCAGCAGTGTCAGCAGATGCCGGTGCCACGGCTCCAGACACTGGCGCCTCTCGTGGTCCTAAAAAGATAGGCATCAACCTCATTTTTCACCTTAACTCAAACCAGAATCCTGTCTTCTTTGCCAGAGATGCAGGACAGGACCCAGAACTTCTCACCTGGGGCTGTTTCTCATCTCTTTGGTTCTTGTTACCATCCAGCCCTGACTCCAGGCTTCCCTGGACTCTGCCCACACAAGGTGTTTGCAACTCGGGGCTCCAGGGCCTTGAGAGCTTCCAGTCATTCTCTAAACGTGTTATTTCTCTAGTGGGTTCTAGTTTCTTCTCACAGTTGGCTAACACTGGCAGAATCACTATCCAAAACTTTCCAGCTTTTTGTTACCCACCTCTCCACAGACCTTTTTCTTCAGGGAGTCGCTCACTACCCTCTGCATTTCTATCCAGACCTCTGTTTCCTCTCAGGACTTTATTGGTATCGTGTAACTAACTCTTACACAAGCGTATCAACTCAGAAATTATTCTGGGGAAGAACCCAAAGAATTGTCATGAGATAACACATGGAATTACAGGGCAGACTCATTCTGGAATACAGATTTCAAAAAAACTAAATTAAAGGAGATGAAAACTTGACCTCATAGTGAACAGAAAGAACAATGAAAATCGGGGGGGGGAGGTTAGAAATTTCTGGGAGGAGGAATGCTAAAGAAGATTCTTAATAAAAGATGCTTGGCCTGCACTGGCAACATCTGAAGCCTAATGCTGATAACTAGGATTTCACTGAGTATGGTACTCCAGAACCAAGACAGTAAAACTGCACAGACACATTTTTAAACTCATGAGGCTGTTGTGCGGGTGTACATGTAAAAGAAAAACAAATGCAAGCTGATGTTATGCTTGGAATAGCTCCACATCACACACTCCCCAAATATTATTCTGTACACCCAATTTATTTTTACTTCCTAGCATATGTTAATTATCTGTATTACAGAGGTTTTTGATTGTCAGTATAAAACAATGACATTATTTCCCACAGTGCATAGGTATTTTCCTGATTATATGAAATAGTAAAATACTTACAAATTAAATTTATTATATTTATCAACCACATCAATTTGTTGTCCTCTTCCTTTTTCTATTACTTACTCTGACAGAAAATACGTTCATACTTAACTGTGTTTTATATTTTAACAATAATGACTTGCATACATATAAATTTTCTAGAACAATGCCCATCACATGGTAAATATTTAATAAATGTTACCTGTAATCATTATCATTACCATCATTGTTATTGCTGTTAATAACAATGATCCTTGTTATATTGAATTCTAATTATAACATAGTCTATACCTGCCAGGAAATTCCTACAGCTGTGCAGGATGGATTTTGCCTCATCCACAGAACTTTTTTTTATCTTTCCTGGACAGAAGTTAGGTCTATTTCTCTAGTTTTTCTGTAGATCTCTCTCCTGATACCACCTATGGCCCACATCTTAGATTGTTAATATCTATTTACTATATTATATTTCCTCTATCGGATTGTACTGTACTCTCTCTCAGAGTGGGAGTATGTTCAACCTATGAATCCCCCATATGCCTAGTTAAGAATATCTGTGCAATGAATGTCATTATGTGAGAAAATGTAACAGGAAACCAACATGATGTAATTCTTGCATTCAGTCCCAAGAATGGTCTCTCTCGGACTCATGTCTTTTTATTTCAACATTTTTATACAGCATTGGAAAGCAACCATCCATAATGAAAGCTCCACATCTGCATATAACATCCTACCCTTTCATTGCACTGACATACTGAACTGATGGGGATAAGCTTTTGGAAAAGTGGGTCAGAAAAGTGACAGATGCTTTTCAATGTCCCTAGGTAAGACTTGGCCCACTAAACCATCAGTTCTAACTGGAACCATTTGGGAGCCATTTTGGACAGTTCCTGAAAGGTCGGAGTCCAATATGAACCATAACTCAAAAAGGCAATGAATGCTGGGCAGGGAAATAAAAGTTATTTATTGGAAATAAAACTGAAAACATAATGCTTCTATGTACAGAATTCAGGGGCATGTAAATTGGTCACTCAAGCAGGTTGTAATGATCGCCCTAAGAAAACAACGAAATGGCAAACTACTAAAATGATTCAAGGAATACAGACATTTCTATGTAAGTATACTTATTAAAACTAGGAGTCTGTAATCTGGAAAAATAATTAATTTAAAGGAGATATTTTTAAGTTTATAAAGTCAAAACTAAATTTATTCATCAACTTATTGAAAAATTAGGAGCCGGGCGCGGTGGCCCAAGCCTGTAATCCCAGCATTTTGGGAGGCCGAGGCGGGTGGATCACAAGGTCAAGAGATCGAGACCATCCTGGTCAACATGGTGAAACCCCGTCTCTACTAAAAATACAAAAAATTAGCTGGGCATGGTGGCGCGTGCCTGTAATCCCAGCTACTCAGGAGGCTGAGGCAGGAGAATTGCCTGAACCCAGGAGGCGGAGGTTGCGGTGAGCCGAGATCGCGCCATTGCACTCCAGCCTGGGTAAGAAGAGGAAGACTCCGTCTAAAAAAAAAAAAAAAGAAAAAGAAAAATTAGGAATAGAGGGAAAAGTTTGAAATACCTATTTCGGGAGAGAGAGAAGCCAGTACCACTTCACAAATATGTGTGAATCACATTGCTGGGTTGTTCAAGGAATATTTGGAGGAACTGGTTGATCTCTCACAACTCACAACTTGTACTCCAAAAACATCCTCCCTCATTTCCAAAAGTAGAGACAAAACCATGTTTGGAAAATCCTTTGGTCTAACTCAAACATAACCTTTCATCCATTATAATTATAAGTAGAGCCCCACCAGGTATTACAAGAAGTGAGAAGGATTTATACTATGAGAGAAAGTGAAGGACAAAAAGTTGTCTATTTTGAGGGCTCTAAACTACAAGTTTCAGGCCAGGGTTAGAGGGAGGCAAACATTTCATTTCTTACTGAAAAATTACATTTTAGGACATGTTTTGATATTCTGAGGTACTCTAGCACTTGATCATTCAAGTATGTAAATCTTCCATTTATCAGGCTAACAGTCTTTTATTTATGTTTTTGCTAAATAACAGGTAAATTTGTATGAAGCAGTTAAATCCTCTCTAGAAACATGCTTAACAAATTCCTAAATTTCAGACAACAGACTAGAAAAGAGAAGCAAAAACAGCTGGCATCACTGGCTTCAGTGACCTAAATTGAGCTCAAATCTTCCTCCCCGTTTTGAGTCAGGCATTTTTGTGTCAGTTGACATAATTATATTTTATTTTGGTATCAATGTAAACTATTTCTCAGAATTATAAAGCCAAGCCTTTCTGGGAAACAGGCAGAGAAAGAAAACTTCAGGGAAAACCCTATACCTAGATTAAAAATCTATATATTTGTATTTCTGAGTGATAGAACTATAAATAAATTTCTTAAATATTTCTATTTTCCTTAAGAAAAAAATTGCTTCAGTTGTGTGTCATTCCCTCTTACTGTCTATCAACAACAAAGGATGTAACTTTCTGGCTGAGCTATAACTATGAAGTTAGCCTAACTGTCTCTAATAAAATATGATGCGAACTTAAAAGTTAGCTTGTGTTTTGTTTCGTTTTAATCAATAATATTGTTGCCTCTTTGCATGTGCTATTTTTTGAAAATGTCTGAAAGAAGAAATCAGGATGTGCATTTTGTATTAATTTCTAGTGTTATTTTCAAACAAATGAAAATCACTTTGTAATTAATTTAAATACAATCTCTCTGTTTATACAAGCTTATATAAAAGTCCAAATAAGGTGAGTGTTCAAGCTCAGTTGCAAACAATAAAAGTACTGCATTCTTAGACAGTCAAAGAAATGATTCTCATTCAGTGATCCTTTTATTATTGCTATCTTTAGTTTCCATGGGGGTTTATGTGAATAAAATAAAATAAAATCCCGCATGTACTCAGATAGAATTACAAATGAATGTTCTCTATTCCTGTTTATGTTAAGAGTTCCAAGCATGATTATCATGAGTACACATAATGGTGCTCTTTTAGCAGTGCTGACATAAAAGGGCCGCTCAACTATGTTGTTTAATTGTATGTATTCCAATGCTAGGCAACTCTCCAAACCTCATTGTAAACATTGTATAAGGTCTGTGAGTTCGACAAAATAATGGAGTTCAGGCTTTTACAGTTAATGCTAAGTGACAGTTGACTTCTCTTTAGGATTGTATATATTGTTTGCCTTGATTAGTGCAGATTGCTCTGTCACGTAAAACAAGCTGGCATTTGGAAACTCAGCCTAATGTTACGCTCTAAGGGTGTCACTTTTTCCCCATGCACACTAACTTGGTGCAGTGCTCTGTTTCCAGGTCTATAGAAAAAAGTAATCTATTACAGATTCTCGTGTTAAGGCTAGAAATAAAATAGAATAGGAATATTCAATCAACTGCTGTATTGAACATGTATTAAGTACGTGGGTATTACACAGCAACAGAGAGATTTTGTTAATTTCATGGAATTCATCATTTAAAAGTATTTTTAGGCAAAATTCATGTTTTTGTATAGTCTTGAAGTAGACCCTAATTTCTGTGCTATGATTAAGGAGGAAGGAAAGGCAGAGAAACATAGCATAAAAGGTAGTACATTCCTACCCTTGAGTTTTATAAGAATGAGGCTCATTTACTGTTCAAAGGACATTGTTTATACATTCCAGACTTCCATCTTATAATTGCTCCAGGATTTGTAAAAAGGAAATCTCAGCAGGGCAGCAGAATTTATTCAAAGCAATAGCTGCACATAATTGGTATAAAATACCAGAACAGTCTGCTCTGAAAACTCTTTTTCTCAGCAACGCAGATTTCCACCCCCTCAACTCTCTTTCCATATGCAAATAAAGTTTGACTACTTCTCCTCTATTACTTGAGTCTTTTCTTCCTCTACTGAGATAATCTATTTTTTAAAGGTCCTATAAATATTTTCAATACCATTTATGTGAAAAACTTTGTTGATGCCCATTTGGTTGTATTAGTGTTTACCTGGTTACTATGACAACAGGTAAAAAGAACCCATGTTGTAGAGGAAAGCTGGTTTTATCTTTATATTTTTATAAAACATTATGAGTTAATTATGTGTTTTATAATACATAAAAGTTAAAAATTTCACTGCTGTGTTATTACCATCTCAGAACTTAATTAAATGAACAAAAGAACATAAGCTTGAGTCTGGATATTATTATTCAAATTTGAAAAATACATTAAAGAAAGGTGAGTCACAAACTGTGGCATATCCCATACATTACAACCATGAGTCTAGAGTGTTAGCTGGACTTCTGACAAAATTCCTTCAGAGGTTAAAAAAAGAAGCAAAATAACAACATCTTCCTGTTTAAAGTGACATGTTCATTCTGTAAGTTATTTCCAACAAATTCTTTCTCGTGTATGTTGAGGAACAAGCTTACAATAGCTTTGCTAATTTAATACCACTTTAAAATGCCATTTGATAGGATTTTGGCAGATGTTTCTTTACTGATATGAATGCAAGCTCATGGGATTTTACTGTTGTTCTTTTTGGAAGAGAAAAAAAAATTTCCATGAAACTAGAAACACCACCTCTTAATAGAAAGGATTAAAACACATTCTTCAGTGGTGATGGTTGCCTATGTACTTAGTGCCTCTGAATTGTACACATAAAAAATGGTTAAAATGACAAATTTAACATTATTTACCACAATATACAAAACAAAAACTTCCTGAGTATGTACAGGAAGAGCCGTTTTAAATATTTGTCATAATTAAATTTAGAGCTCATTCCTTTTAAAATGCAAAATCTCACATGTAATTCTTATGTCTTATTAAAGACAGATCAAATAAAGCATAATGTGGAAAATGTGGACACAAAGTAGGCTTGAGTTGTATAAGAATAATCAGAAAACAAACATCCACAGAGTTAATGCCCCGCAAAGTATTTTCAGTTGCATGGCAGGTAATATGTTGTATTTATGATGTGAAAATGTTTCACATCCTTATTGAATAATTACGAAATTCAAGTGATTGTTTTTTTCAGGTTGTTGACAATGCAGATTTCTGAAGACAGGCTAAAAAATTCCACTAGTAACTAATTTTCTTAGAAAGTTTCCACTATTGATTAGCCATAGATCTGTAAAAATGCTGTGGTAGGCACTCACTAAATACTGCGTATCTAATTCATTTGAGTAATAATAGCAGATTTTTAAGAAGGCAATGGGTAGCTCTGTTAACTAAAAGAAATGAAACTATCCATTAAGAAAAGTGATTTGGGCCATTTGGAAGTAGAGAGCAGCCTTCATGGGAAAAAAAAATAATTAAAAAAAAAAAAAAGACAGAAAAGTGATTTGGCAGGAGAAGAAAAGAAAAATAAACGATCAGCCATTCCTTTATTCAACAAAATTTACTGATTCCCTAACTTCATTCGCCTCTCTACCTTCTCCCCTCTATTCCGTGCCCTGAGGGCCGACCACTTGCCCTGCCATCACTGAGATCCTCCTCTCTCTGGCTTCCTGTTGGTTCCAATTGAAGGCACTGGCAGATCTAAGGGTAGGAGGAAAGTGAGAGATATCTGGTCAACATGGGCTTGGTCCTTGGCTGAAGGTCATTACCTCACTCAGGGAGCCCCCTGCACTGGGCTCCCCCTCCAGGTTCTGGTAACTGCTCCCAACCTTTGCTCTTTCAGACTTTGACTAGTAAAAGCACTCATCTTTTGTTGGCCTCAGAACATATCATTGTCTCTTTTTGGTTTCCCTAAGACCTGCCAACACATTTGTAAATGTTCGTTAAATACCAAGTTTGAGTATGTATGTCATGCACTTCCTATCAGAATCCTAACTAATATAATCACATATTCTTGTCAGACACAGTTCTAGGTCCTTAGAAATCTTCAGCTAATCCTAAGAAATATCATTTTTAGGTATGTAGCCATTTATTTTGCTTTTTAAAACTTAATTGCTTTTCAATTAATAATGCTCCATCCATACGTTATTTTTAAAATTACATTAATAGAGTAAAATGGGCCTCCCCCCCAAATTTCTTTTTTTTTTTTTGAGAAGGGGTCTCACTGCATCACCCAGGCTAGAGTATAGTTGCGTGATCTTGGCTCACTGCAACCTTCGCCTCC